GAAATCACGTAGTGTTTTTGCTTCTGTTAAAAAAAATCACAATTCAAATTGTATTACTATTTCAAATTATGGTGATGTTAACACTATTATCCCAATAGAACTCGAGGTACTTGTTCTCTCTCATTAGCATAGGTATCGAGTAATTAACTCTGTCGAGCAAGGCTTGAATATTGAAAAGAAATCATCACCTAGTGTTTTGGCTTAGGATGAAATCTAAATTGAGATCTCATGACTCTTTGTCAGGCATATTATTGACGACTAAGTCACACATTTAGATGTTGTGGATACCTAAGTTTAGGGGTGTCAAGCACATAGCAACATGGTTAAGGAAGAGTGCATCTAAAATTTCTAACGTCTCAAAACACATGTGTCGAATAACTAGTTAGTGAAAAGTAGTTATGATAACTTACCTCATTCTTGTTCTTGGAATTATAGTGTTGATCAATAAGAATTGGATTTTTAACATCATCCAAGACAATATCTTCATAAACAACATCAGAAACTTGTAGTGGAGATGAAGCCATATAAGTCTTGATTCTTGCACCATTTGTTGTACTGTGGAATGTACAATTTTTTATATAAACTTTTGTAACATCCTTCTCATCTGGTCTTTTTCCAAGGCTTCCAATGCTGCAAAAAAAATTAAAATTAAAACAAAAAACTACATTTAAAATTTTTATTTATCTAAATTTATAAAAAAAGTTAGTAGTATTTTTAACCCCTCAATTATAGATGATTTTCAATTTCAATCCTTGTAACACTTGAATAAACACATTGAATCCCCTTACCATTTGAACAAACTATTGTTTTATTAATAGTTAACGTCCATTAATTAATTAAAATATGTACTCTTATTCCCGTTGCTTTGAATATTCATCAATTTTTCATAATTATTAATAATATTATGACTTAATCATTCTATGTGGTATGCTAACTATACTCCATATTTGACAACTATACACTTCTAAAAATAATCTAGATATAACATATTTTCAAAAATACATATTTCAATTACTTGAAAGTTAAAATGTGCTTAATCACGTATCACACTATTAGAAAATCATTTTTTTTTACGGAATTCGTCAGACTTTGGCTCGTTAATAACATTTCCAATTGACTTTTTGTCAGAAATTCCTTACTGACGAGCCAAATTCCAACAACACATCTATTGGATACTTGCGACGACTTTTTTTGTTGTGTCACAATACTCTTTAAGTTATTTTACAAATAACTGAGGAACCAAAAGTACATATTATTGTTCTTTTACGACATATTAGGGCTAGAACGTAAAAGAGATGTAAAATTGTTCGTTGATTAAGAGATTCCATCAACTCGTGAATTGTAATATCACGAGTTTGAATTGTTGTGATCTCTTGATCATTCTTGTCTAGTCGAGTCTTTCTTATTCTTCTATTACTTATATGTGAAAAATTAACCGAAAAAATTTACATAATAATATTAAATTATTAATAAAAAACTAACCTTATTCCATGTCCAGGGCCACAATGAATATTATTGACAAAAATATTGGTAGTACCATGTCCAACACTAATGCAATCATCACCAGTCCCAATGTTGCTATCAGTAATATTGATATTAATTGTTTCACTTATATGAATTCCATCAGTATTTGGACTTGTTCCTGGTGCTGTAATCTTGATTTTTGAAACTGTGATGTCATTACTATCAGTAATTTTCAAGTGGACACCTTTGGAATCCACAAAATTGATGCCATTGATGGAAGAACTCTTCACAGTTTGAAATACAAGAGACTACACATACAAAAATAATAATAATTAAAATTCGAATCGTCGTTAATTTCATATATGATCATTCTAACTGTTTATTATATCAAAGTCATAAAACTACTTATTGTACTAGAAATATAAAATATGAAAGATAATGGATATTAGGTTGGGTCGAAAAAATATTAATTTTAAATGGTGTGACATGGATATCATGTAAGGTGCGCATGTCGACTTGAGTAAACTTATTTGACAATTCATTTTCTAGTTATTTGGATTCGTGCCGCATAAGATACACTTAAAGCGCGTCCTTCTCAGAGGCGGAGTTAGGTGAGGTTCGTGAGTTCGGACGAACCCAGTAACTTTTTCGTAGACTCTGTATTTGTAGTAGAAAATTAAATAAATATTTATGTTTATTAACTTCTGAACCCTTAATAAAATTGATTGACGGTTCAGTGGTAAAAAAGTTACCGTGAAAATACTTTTCACGCTAGAGTTGTGAGTTTGAACCCCCTCCCCTCTCTCTCAAACTCTTAATCCTGACTCCGCCTCTATACTTCTTAATCAGGAGTTTCTCCATTTTCAAAGCTCAAATTCGAGCATTATGGTTAAAGGTGGAGAATCTCATCCATCTTCTTATGCTCTTGCCTTGGTGGTTATGTCAATTTCATATATATAACAACCTTAGCTATGTGTGTCATTTTTTTGCTTCTTTCATATAACATGTATAATCTTGAGTTACTTTTTTTTCGTTATAAAAGTTAATTTTATGATTTTAATAGTAAATTAAAATTTGAACGATCATAAGTTGAGTGACTATCTAAACTTACAGTAGGGAGAGGAGGAGTGCTTCCGGTTTTGTCAGCATACTGCCAGCTGGCGTTTCCTTGTCCATTGAGAGTTCCGCCACCTGTAATAACGACACCGTCCACGTGTTCGAGGGATATCCAGGAGGCACGTGAGTACAAACTTATGTCTGTATTTGACAATACTGTCCCTTGAATTTCAATAGTAATGGGCTTTGGGCATGTACATGGGCCTTGAAAAATAGTTTCTCCTGTAGTGAATGTTCCTGGTGGAATAACAACTTTTGCTGAGCCTGTTGATTGGCAAGCTGATCTCCATGCCATCATAAATCCCTATTAAATCCAAGAAAAAAAAAAATACATTTATAAATAATTTATTTATTTGTCTCTAAAATCATCAAATCAAATTAAATAAGTAGTTAATCTAGTAGAATACAACTTGTTATGAATATGCATACAAGTCCAATAGATAATTAAAATTGAATTTCGACCATCAGAGTTACAGGAAAATTCATGAGTAGAGAACTATCTGATTTTTAACCAAATCTCTTTCATCAAATAAAATTATCTTTTGTGTCTTGTATGTATACATAACTCGTTGAATACTCTTATATAAAGAAAACCTTTTATTGTAGCAACAAAAGTGTTTCAAGAATTGTTTTACATTAGGTTGATCAAATTTTGGCGGGGGCGACTCAATGCCTTTAAAAATGAAAATCTGTCTTACGCCCCCCAAAATTTGAGGACCTCATTTTTTAGTAATAATAGAATTATTATATGTATTTTTAACAAAAAATTAAATTATTGACATTAAAAGATGTTTATTTCTTTTTGTCAATTTTTAAATTTAACTTCCACATGACAGGTTTAAAACCACAAGATTAAAAAATATTCCATATAATTAGTTTAAGACCATAGAAAAAAAGAACGTTTTTTCATTAAAAAGAAGAAATAACTTTGGATTTCAAAAAAAGAAGAAGCTGGGCCTCCGATTTATTTTTGGCTTTAGGCCACTAATTAACTTGAGCCGCCACTGAATTCTGGTATGACTTTCTTGCATACTTTTGAATCCCCTCGTTAGAATTCCTAATCACACCACGGGGCATGATGCAACGTAACGGTATATACCTAAATATGTATGAAAATATATATATGCACACATAATATATAGTCATAGTAGAATATTGAATATAACATCAGGGCAAAGGGGCGGAGCTAGAAACTCAAGTATAGATTCGGGCCTTACCCGAGTGCTATCTGCAGTGGGATCTGGTCTAGCTCCGTACTTGGTAACATCGAAAACTGTCTCCATAAGGCCACGACGCGAACCAAAAGGTGCACAATCTGCAACTTTTGATGATAAAATGGCTATACCCAAAAGTAAGAATAATCCTATAGTATTATTGATTTCTAATCCTTTTGGAATAGCCATTATGGTTGTGGCCTAATTAGGAAATTGAAAAATAAAATAAAGAAGAAAAGTGAGAAAATTAAAGAAGGAAAGGACCCTTTTTGAATGGAGATAAACAAATCTTTTGCCATTTTTATATCAATCTTCTTACACCATACAAAAATTATTGGCTAGTGTTTAGTTTGTTTCATTTCTTGTTTATGTTATTTCCTACATTTTAGCTAAATTAGAAGTTTAAAAGTTCACCTTAAATCATTAACAGAAAATAATTTGTGTGGCCTTTAGAAGCTAGGTCCTCTTGTAAAATATAATTTAACTTTTTAGTTAAACCGTATGGTATCTGACTTATTGGTTCGATTAATTTAAATTCTTCAGGCACTAAGAGGGAAGTATCAAATTAAGTCTTGCGCCTAACTCACACCCCCAAAAAAGAGGAGGATTGTTCATGGTTCTTGTCTTTAAGTAACTGATGTGGGATTCATACCATTCATCACCCTCTCACGCTTATATCCGTACAGTTTTATCTGAGGTTCCACTGCTTGGTCTAGTGCGTGCACATTCATGGATCAATTGATATTTTCAACCCCCGCAACTGTCTAGGACCCTAGAGACCCTCATTAGGTGGGGTCGGGTCTAGCTCTAATAATATTATGTCAAATTACATCTTGATCTAACTCAAATTCGAATATAAAACTAGTTTATAGAAATTTCTCCATTCTTAAGGTTCTAACCTAAATCTAATACTAGGGTATGTGACACCCTCACAACTCGATGACAATTGTCCACCAACACGTTCATTTTGATCTTAAGATTTTCGGACATTATTATATAAGTAAGTAAATAAATAATTCCAAATTTATTTATGATAATTAAGCTTATATTGCCACTCTGAACTCATTGACATTTAACAATTTCTCAAGAAATGAAGCTTTGACATCAAATTTCTTATAAAGGGAACTTAATATATATATTCTCAATAGTAAAACAAGCTAACAACATCCTTAAGATGCTAAGAAAAATCTTAACACATGAACATAGGCAAGCAATGAGCCAGACTAGTAACTGTCGCGGTTGTTATCTCCAAGGTATATATATAAATAAATACCCTATAAGTTGATGTTTTGATAAAATTTATTAATCATCTAGGACAATATTCATCTTAATAGAGCCTCTGCGCTCACTTGACTTAAAATCTTGTATCAAGAGGAAGTCAAACCGGAATAAAATGGCACCTCGGTAGCAGGTATCCACTCACTCCCTTGTATAAAATTCCCAACAGTAAATTGACTCGCCTCAGTAGAGCTATTAATGACTCGATAACCGGGCCATTTCACTCTAGCACTAGTATTTGAACCGGGTCCCCGGTTCAAATACTCTCCATAATAAAGTGTGTTCAATGCAAAATCACCACTCCATTCTAACCAACCAGCAGGATCAATTAAGCTACCAATATTGGAGAAGAGAAATACAGTTCTTGAATATTGTTTCCATGGTCGTCCTAAGTAATTTTTGAATGACGATAGAACAGGAACTAAATCCGATGCAGCTTCCACTTTACAATTCAAGATTGAAATTCCAGTGTTTTGATTTGGATCCTCTCTTCCTTGTGCTGTGAATATGTTCTTCTGATTCGGGTTGGGTTTACGAGCATACAAGTTACAGTTCTGGAGAACAACAGCTGCATTACCTGTTTGAAGACATAATTTAACAAGTTATCTGTTAGGATCATAGTAATCAGGTATCTCGTATAGAAACTAATAATATACTTGAAAAGAGACACAAAAAGTTAATGTGGTTTAATGACTCGATCTACATATATATAAGAGAAAAGTTTATATAAGGTAACATATTTGGATATATGACTTTCTGATTTTGACCATATGAGATATTAACTTAATGGCCAAAAAAAGAGCAAAGGTTAAACTAAAAATGATATAATTTTCTGATTTTGACTTATAAACATTTTTAGTAAATTTACCAAATATTATATAACAATTAAAATATTTAGATGAAATAATCACACAGTTCAAAATGTTACCAAAAATGAAGTCGACCGTCCCATAGACATCGCAATTGCGATAAAATTGTCGAAGGGAGTGGACGTAGAGGGTGTCTTGATAGGCAACAAAGCTGCATTGGTAGAACGCAGATAGGTCGGAGCCGCTCCGCAGAGCCACTGCTTGGTGCTTGCTTGGTCCGGCATAGTTCTCAAACGTAATGCCTCTGGCTAAGAACCCATTTCCCACCACAGCTGCAATTAAAAAAAAATGCAAAGATATTGAGTTTTATAATACTGATCTTATTTTCGACAATTGAATTTGACTTTTTATATTCATATTGAAACTAGACTTAAACGTCTTTGAATTCTGCTTAAGGCTATAGCTAGTGTAAAACAATTTATTAGGGAAGCATGGATATACCATTTATAATATGAATCATCAAAACTAATAATAATTTTGACTCTAACTCTATATTTATTTTTAAAAATTACTTGGATCTAATGCATTAGTTATATATAGATCAGTAATGTGAACTAAGTAACTTAAGTAGACCCTAAATTTTTATTAGAAAATTAAATAGTAAGTATTCATAAATATTTAGTTGTGGATTCAATTATTATTATTATTATAGTATTTACTTGATATTGTTATAGAAACCTACAAACTTCATGTTTTGAATCTGCTTCGATGTACAAATTATTAATTTAAAAATCAGTTTCTTCAGAGGATTATAGATTATAGAGTACAATACAAGACACCAACATATATATAGACAAAAATCTTCCATCTTTTCAGAAATCTATATTTATTATTAATTATTTAATATTTATAACCAGATACTAGATCTTTTAAGAAAATTAAGAAGAAGAAAAAAATCTGCTAATCTTTATCATATATATGGACACTGACCTATGTTGTCTTATATCATTGCATGTATGTAAATTGGAATAATACTTTCACTTCCACTAATCGCAAGATTAATAGTCAGAATTTTCTTTTAAAAGTTCAAAATATGAAGGAAAAAAATATACACATGAAAAAGCATCGGGGTTGAACATCTATATTAAAAAATGTTAATTATATATAAACGATGTCATTTTTTGTTAAAAAAAATCGAACAACTCTTTGACCTTATCTGATTCTCGACTGTACTTGAAATTATATCTTATCATAAATTTTTCATACATAAAATTCAAATTCAAAATCTTTAATCGAATATAAGCGTCTGTCATACCATAACTCCACGTGGTCCTAAATTAAAGGCTAAAGCTACACATTGCTTCAAGTCGAGCTATTTAATTATTTTTTTTATGTGGATTCAAAAATTATTGGAGGGATGAACCTAACCAGACAAGAAGACATGGGATCATTAATTATAGGAGTAGTACACTTGTAAAATAAATCTAGTTGAATGGTTGAAGTGAATTAAATTAAAATATATTTTATTAAATATTTTCTCTCTTCTCAATTATTTGTCCACTTTTGAATAAACACATTTATTAAGAAAATAATTATTGGCATAATGAATTTATCATTTTACCCCTATTAATTATGAAATGGATGAATTAAAAACTTAAGATTTTCAAGAAGTTATATCTTTTTCAAAGTAATTAATTAAGGGTATAATAGGTAAACATATTTTGTCCTTTCTTGATTTATCAAAATGAACAAGTAATTAAGGACAATTAAAAAAGAAAAAATGGACAAATAGTTAAGACCAGATGGAATATAAATATAAAATTTAGATCAAATTATTAAATTTTATCGAATTTATAACTTTTATGGTAGCTCAAACGCTCAATTTACAAGATAGGACCAAATTAATGTTGAGGTGGTTGTTGTGGGGTCCTTTATCTATTAGATATGCTTAATGAGACAAATGTATGAATTATTCCTACTTGTAATTATAGATGAATTTAATACTTAAAGTTAACGAATTCTTATTTAGTAGTAAAATATGAATAAAAATTATTAAATTTCCATAAATTCGTTAATAACATTGTGGTGCACGACAATTTTTTAATTGCTGGACAACACTGATATTTGAATTTTATAAGTAATTCAAATTGTATCACATAAATTACAATTATGAGTAATATATTAGCATTTTTCCTGCTTCGTCCCATCCTATTTTAAAGGTACTCTGTACTAGTCTTTTGAATATAAAGTCTCAAATTCATAGCTAGGGGTGGTAATAGTACGATTGATCAATTATTTATTTTTAAAATTATTTATTATATTAAATTTTTAATTATTTTATTGAGCATGATTAAATTTAAATTTTTTAAAATCGTCTCAATCTTGAATAGAGTATATATAAGTCTTGATTTTCCACACCGACAGAATCCATCAATTTTTTCATAACCCTACATGTTCAATGTTAATATTTCATGTCAAGATCTTTCAATGTCTTTTTAATAATTCATATTTCGAATTTTTGCCTAACACAAATATCTACACAATAATATCTAATGCCATGACTTAAGGAATGACTAACTTATTAAAAGCGAAATGCGTCGTATTATGACTATTTTTTATTCTCTTAATTTGAATTCGAAATCTCTAATTAAAAATGAAGAAATTCTATGTATTCATTCCTTCACGATGGTACCAATAATGATCTTTACTTTTACAAAAACTACTCCCTATGTCCAAATTTCAATAATAGTTGTCTACTGAAAGACTTGACACACACCTTAAAAAACAATTAATAATCTGGACAATATTAGTATTATATTATCTTTCAAATATATTAAATTAAATATTTTGAGAAGGGTAAAATAGACATAAGGGTAAATTATCTCTTGATTTTTAAACTAAACAAATATTATTGGACAACTATTTTTAGTATATCGAATTAATAAAGATGAACGGAGGGAATACTATGTAACATAATTAGATTACTAAAAGAATATTAGAATAATTCTATCAAACTATTAATTATAGTATACATGACTCATGATTAACAAATTATTCACACCAATAATATGAGATTAAGGAAGGTCTAAATCATTGAATTAATTTCAAAGCGCATGACACTACATAGAACGTGCCTTTGTCCAAATAATTATCTATCTTATTTTAAAATTATTATTCTCAATTTATATTTCTCGAATATGAGTATTGTAACATATAATTAAATTTCAGATAATTGTTACTAGCTATCAATGTATAAAGGTTAAACTCATACGATATCAAAATAGGGAGTTTTGAACTTACCAACGGTAGCTGATCGGAAAGTAGTCCATCCATCAACAACGTTCCGATTACCCTTTATTACTGTTTTTCCGATCCCATCTCCGACGAACATTATCATACTTTTCTTTCTTTCGACATCAATATATTCGAAATACGTTCCCGCCTTAATGTAAATCACAAATCTTGTACTACTAGAATTTGGTGCGGCACTTAATGCTGCATTAATAGTAGTAAAATTACCACTACCATCCTTAGCCACAACCAAATCGAACTTAATTTGGTTCACCGGAGCTTGTAAAAGCGTCCTGTCCTTTTTTTTCAACCATTTCGGGTACCCATTCTTCATGGTCCCGTATTCTGGGAAGACTTCATTAGAGTTTGATGACGACCTAAAATCAAATTATAATAAGAGGCTTTCAAACTTATTCATGATTAAACAAAACGAGACAAAAAAAAGTAACTAATTCAATAAAATCGAGTTGAAATTACTTAGTGAAATAGAAATGATTGCACATAAAGGAAATGGTAAATGTTTTACTAATTAATGAAAGAGAGAAATTTAAAGTAATTTACTCACTCATCACTTGAAAAACTTCAACAAATCCTAAAAAAGAAAGGACAAACTTATACCATATTCCTTCTAATTCATGTGTATTAGTTCGACAGGATACATAATATAAAAAAAAAGTTTTTCAAATCTTACGGTCGTAAAGTAAATTTATGTTGTATATGAGTAAACAACTCCATCAGTTTCATTTTATATGATGTTATTTGTCAGAAAATAAAGTTTAAGAAACTAAAAAAGAACGACTTGCCTAAAGTATCTCTTGGGTAATAGAACAAGAAGAAAAGTTTAAAGTTGAAAGAGTTTTTTGAAATAAAAAATGTGTCATGACTTCAAGAATATATTATCGTTCAATATTTTGGGGGTCTAAAATATATGCTTTAGTGGCCTTACCCTTGAGCCGACCCTGTCTTTAACTTCTTAAGCATGGCAAGAGAGTTGCTCACATGTTGAGATATTGTATGCAAGTTCTTCTCAATGTATTGACTCAAGTTGTGTTTACTATTGTAAATTCCACCAAGACAAGTATCTTGATTTGTCATTGCACCACTAAGAAGTGTTTGTAGATCATTATAGTGCTTTAAAGGTGAATTACTACTATTTTTAGTAGAAAGATCATAAAGAGTTGTTTGTAACTCATCAATAGTAGTATCACCTAAAAGTTCAATACAATCATCTAATGCCCTTTTTTCAATAGGGTCCAATTTGGACACATGGTGAAGTATGTTAGAGCAATTTCCAGCAGAGGATTTGACTTCATTCATAGTGACATTAACATTGGAAGAAATGATTTCTGGAATTGATTTTTGGTGAAGATTTGGGATTAATGAAAGAGTGGAAATGCAAAGTTGGGGATAAAGTGTGTCTTGGCAATGTGAATTTGCAATTTGGATGTTTTTGTGAACATGAATTTGTTGAGTACTTGATACTAATAATGATTTTGGGGGAGAGAAGAATGTGAGCAAGAAAATGGATGAAAGAGCAAGAAAAAGTGAAGGCTTCTTTTTTTGGATATACATTTTGGGATCTTTGTGATGGAAATGAGTAGTAAAGTTGTGCTTCTTTTATAGGAATTTAAGAAGTTCCACTAAAAGATATTGTTCAATGGATACATCAAACTGAGTCAGAATTTAAACTTTATGAATATAAAAATTGAGATATTTATTAATTATTTGACTTACTTTGTTCAAAATTTAATATTTGTACATGTTTAGGTTTGAAGGAAAATGTTCTCCACTTCAAATATTGTTAAAAAACATTTTCGTGGAGGATATGTGAGTTTTTTTTTTACTAATTTTCTAATGTTTGATAAATAAGTAGAAAATACTATCTCAAACTGGTTAATTATTGGATCGGTGACCTTTTTATATGATTTGGACAATTTTCATCGCTTGAGCTAGCATTTGGTGTTGACTTAGATAAAAGATTTAACTCATTTCTTTACATGGTATTAGAGCAAGCCTCATTCTAATTCTCATTCACGATGTTGAACACCCATATTAAAATTATTCATGCTCCAGATATTCAGCCCTTGGCGTGAGTTTTTTTTTAAAAAAGAATTCTCATGTTAGTCAATTATGGGAAGAGTAATCTCTAATCCTCGTTCTTAGACTAGCTTTTGAGATTAAGTTAGGTTCAATTTTTATTTTTTTACAATTATATATGTTATATTTAGAATATTTTTAGAAGTACAACAACAAGAACGACAACACTATATATATATATATATATATATATATATATATATATATATATATTTAGCGTAATCCCATAAGTGAAGCTTGGGAGGGTAGAGTGTATGCATACTTTATTCCTACCTCGTAGAGATAGAGAGACTATTTCTGATAAATCCTCAACTTAAATAAAGCTTGTCAAACAATTTGAAAAAGGGGATACAAAGCAATAACAACAAATTAATATGAAATAGAGAGTATTAGATAAAAACGCAAGAAAGAATAATGACGTAATAATACAATAATCGAGACACAAAAAACACCAGTGAAAATCAAAATTGAAGACCAGAAAACTACAAAATAGTCTCAATATTATTGATAAGAAAGAAGGTTCAAGAACTCAAAAATGAAGTAATATAACACATAAAAATGAAATTACATGAAAAATTAATTTTTCGAGTTTCAATATATTATCGAATACTGAGTAGAAAATTGTAAAAAATAAATGAAAAGAAGTAATGGTGGTATGGTTACTCATTGGTGGTTAGGTGCAAGAACAATAGAATTATGTGTATGAATCTAATTGAAATCACATGTCTGCACATACTGCCGACACTGCAAAACCTTAAATCAAGGATGTATTTGTCTGCATTCTGTGTTTTTTTTTTCCTTTTTTCATTCGAGGTTTGATATTTATATTGGAGTTCTAACTATTTTAAATTTATGTCGGGTAGAACCCCATTCAAGGGATATTGGATTCATATTGGAGCTCGACCGATTATTTTGAATACATGTCGAGTAGAGCCTCATTCAGGGATAACTCTTCCTATCAAAAACTTTTTCATACTAAAGATTCCAATCGAGACCTTTGATTTAGAGAGGAGCAACCTCGTTCATTGCACCACATTTGTTGATGGTTGCATTCTAAGTGTTGTTTCCCTTTCCATGAGTACAATAATAGTATAAGATCTGATCTATTCATAAAAAAGTTTAGATATAAATAACTCATCTAGACATATATCTCTATATATTTTTGTGTGTTCATTTTCCAAGTTTTTTTTTCACTTGGAACAAGGAGGACCAAAGGGTGTATGTTTGTAATTGGCTAGGAGAATATATGTCGAAAAATAAGTAATTTTAATTTTTTATTAATTTCTTTGGTATTTAGTAATGTGAATAAGAAAATATTATCTAAGGAGCATTTGTATGTAATTTAGAAAATTACTATGGTGTACGGCTGGGTCGAATGGGGTTTTGAGTTGCTCGGGGCTGGGGTGGAGCAGCAAAGGGATTCATATGAACCCCTCAGAGTGTGTATTACTATATAAGAAGAGTGAATAAAATTCACTCTTCTTTCGACACGTGGCACCAAGATGGCCCACCTACTTTTATATTTGGTTTTTGAAGATGGCCCACCTACTTTTATACACTCCTCTTTCATTATATTTTAATTTTTTCCTTTTTAAATAGTACTAAAAAATATATTTAAAATATCACAAATTCGATTAACTCTCAAAATTTTACGCGAATTCTATAATTAAGACGAAGGGAATAACATATATTATTTGAAAAATTACTATATAATTACTACTCTTCTTATATAGTAATATTTTAATTTTTTCCTTTTTAAATAGTACTAAAAAAAAAATTAAAATATTACAAATTCGATTAACTCTCAAAATTTTACGCGAATTGTATAATTAAGACGAAGGGAATAACATATATTATTTGAAAAATTACATTAAGAATACCATAAACCACAATAGTTAACAACTTACAATATTTGAAAAACATATTAACTCTCAAAATTTCACATGTGTCACATAAATTGGGACAAATGGAGTAACATATATTATTTGAAATTACGTTAAGAATATTATTAATCACAACTTAAAGTATTTAAAAATACATAACATATATTATTTGAAAATAATATAAAAAATATTATAAATCATAATAATTAACAATTTAACGGATATTGTGCCCGTGCTTCCATTTAGAAGTGAGAATGTTTAGGAGCTTAGGGTTAGTCAGTCAATTGACCGATTTGCCCTTCTTCTTCAACTTCCTCTATTTACTACAAAAATAGTACTAAAAATCAATTTAAAATATTAAAATTTTGGTTAATTCTTGAAATTTCACATGTATTGCATAATATAATAAAGTGAGTAACATATATTATTTGAAAATTATATAAATAGTACTAAAATATAGTTTAAAATAGTACTAAGAATTTGGTTAACTCTCGAAATTTCATATGTACTGCGTAATTGAGATTGAGTGAGAAATATATATTATTTGAAAAATAGAATAAATATGTGATATTATTAGAAAGAGCTTTAATATATATTTTAAAAATTATTTTGTCTTCCGTATATGATTTTCTGCATATATGTGGAGTTTTAAAGTTTTTAACATTTTAATATAGAAATATGATTATTTGAAAATTTTAGTACTTTCTTCATTTAAATTTTTCCTTGTTTTTCTTTTAATTTGTTCTAGATTTAAAAGTTACATAAAAAGTACTTAAAATCACAATGTAATAATATAAGATATTAAAAAAACATAATTAAAAATCATAAAAGAAATTTTATTGACTCTTTAATTCCATATTGAAACAAAAGAAGTTTGTTTGAAAATAACATAAAAAGTAACGTAAATTAAAGTAAAATAACAACTAAAAATATTTAAGAATCATATAAGAAATTTAGTTGAGTTTCGTAAAAGTACCTACGTCACATAAAATGGAACAGAAAGAGTAATATATATTATTTGAAAATGATATAAGAAGTGCTATAAATCACAATAAATTAACAACTTCAAAATATATTTAACAAAATCACATACAAAAAATTATATAACTCTCCAAATTTCATCGGTGTCACATAAATTGAAACAAAGAACTACTCCCAATTTATGTTATTTACTTTCCTTTTTAGTCAGTCCCAAAAGAATATCACATTTCTATATTAAGTAACAATTTGATTATAAAATATTTATTTTACCCTTAATGAAATAATTTATAGTCATACAAATTTATATCATTCATTTTGGACCACAAATTTTAAAAGTCTTCATTTCTTTTTTAAACTCCGTGGCGAATCAAACTACCTCACATAAAATGAGACGGAGGAAGTAATATACATTGGGCCCGCGCTGGCGCGGGAACCTAATAACTAGTATATATATATATATTAAAAAAAAACTTAAGCTCACAAGAATAGTCAAAGGAAGGTGGTCCATACTAAGCTTTTGGCGAAAAGCATTTGTCTAAGGGGCTAAAGTCCACAAATATTTGATTTTGGTACACTATTTTAAGTCGTATTCGTGCAAAAAATTTATAAATCTATTTTCAAATAAAATATTTGAAATTTTATATGGATAAATTAAAGTTTATTTGTTTTGAATCAATTTTAATTATAAGTGGCTGAATTAAGTTATTCTTGTTTGAATTTCAAGAACATATATACAACTAAAATCCAGTCATTTTTTATTTAAACTCCAGTCATATATGGCTAAATTAAGTCATCTTTGTCTATCACAAATAATTGAAATGTCATTTTTGCATGAATTTCAGAAAGAAATAACTCGATTTTAACTTCAAACACCTCATATTTAAAATTATTTTGAAATCGATAAACGTAACATTTTTTTAGATCCAACTTTTAATCAATAGGGCTTGAAGACTAACATAAACTGGCCAAACATTAATAGAGGGACCAATATATGTTGGACTTTAAATTTCAATAGACTGGACCCTTCTTTCCTATGCACCACTCTCTTACACTTCTCTTCTCAGTTTATTTATTCTTTTTGGTTTTTCATCTGCTATTTGGAGCCCGTATTGATATCCCAATTAAATTTGTATTGCGTGGTACAGAGTCCATTCAAAGATTACGCTCCTAACAAGATTTTCTCCCCCATCTTTGCAAATTACTTATCAAGAAGAGCGAAAATGGTTGATATATGCAAATATATCATGTTTTAGATTACCATTTAAATTGTATCCTTAATTATTTTTTAAAAAGTTTGTGCAAATTTAGGCCTTGAAAAATTGTCTTTTCAAATAATGTTAGACTAATAGTAGAATTTAATATTTAATTTGCTCATATATTGCTTAAACTTACAAACAATACATTAGACTGTTATCTAACATTTACAATAATTTACAACATTTTAGACGGTGATCTAACATCTTCTCATAAAACTTTTAATTTGTTCATAAAGATCTCTAGGTCGTGGCCACAATATTTTATAATATGCAAAAAGAAAAAGAAACGAAAAATGATGATCATTTACTAAACAATTGACCCAAAAAGGATAAGCCAAACATAATTTCATGAAAAATACTTGAATTTGTTAAGATTTGAAGAAATGTGTGATGACCTTTATATATGTGCATAGAAATTTCTAGCGTCATAAGATTTGAGCAGTGACATAATCAG